ATAGTTTAAAACAACTTGTTTAATAGTTTTTGTTTTTATGCAATACATAAAAAATCTTAACATTTTTGAGTTTAAGTCTAAAAATATGTAAGTTAAACTGATTGGAACCATATTTAATCGACGAATCAGTGATCAGCGTAGAAGTTCGTGAAACATGTGAATCTTTTTTTCGTTATACGTATTTAGGCTAGAAAATATTTCTATATTAAACATGCTCCACAGCGAAACGAATCTCGAAAAGGCGGTAAGGAGGATCAGACCGTCAATCTCTATTAGTGTGTATATTAAATGACTTATGTCTTAGGAAGTCGAAATCTCCGCAATCTCCGAGATCGTCGTATGTCTACCAACTCCGTAACCTGCATAATCTATATACTATAAATAGTTACTGATTCATTTACAAAAAAATTTTTTTCATTTCTTACTTGCATTATCTATCTTTACTAGTCTAGATACATAAACCCAAATAAACGCATCGCATAAACCAGATTCTTTATGCCATATACAATATAAAAGATACCATGTCTTCATACGATTCAACACCTTCCTCACCAGTTGAGCGATTAGAATCTATGATTTACAGATCCGAGGATAAACGGTAGATTTTTATTACGATGTTTTCCCTTTTTTAATAGCATTCATTCTATATAAGACCGTTATCTCATTAGGATCTGGAAAGTTCTAGCTTTTTCTGCGTAAATAAATTCTGATCTGTAGAGCAGAGCTCATGCCAAGGCATAGATTTCATATAAAAGTACTTATCTCAAAAAAATGGGTCTTCTTTATCCAACCATGACTGATAAACTTCCTGATAATGTTAAGCAGTGGACCCCGGATCATGTTGAACAATTCCTTAGATCCCGTATTGGCGATTCAAATTATAATCAGGCCGATATTGATAAAATCCGAAATCAAGGACTCGACGGTAGAGCCTTTTTACGCTTGAGTGAAGAAAAACTTACCCGTAAAAATAGTCTTTATGAACTCAAATCAAGCCCCGCAGAAGGAATCATGGAATTGGTTGAAGAACTCAATAGAGAATCAAGTATGTAATCCTACTTTTTAGCTTGAAGCTGGCTCCCACTATTAAATGCCTTACTTTCACCCATTCTTTATTTTTGATCAGAATCACCTCCAGCGTCCGTTGAAGTCGTTACTGCTACCGAATTTAATTCGTTCCGTAAAGAGGTCAACAAAATTATCGATAATAAAATTAGAAAATTTCATAAAGATATCGAAAAAGAGTTATATAGCATATGTGAGGAGGTTATTAGAAATAGAGATGATATAAAGATTATTGCCAGAGATATTTTTGTTTGATCGTGTAGAAACGATGTATTTCGCAAATTTTATATTGTTCAGCAAATAGAATTACTGGTAAATAATGACATACATTTCCTTTTCGAACCCATTCGTGTTTTTTCTTATTGGGAATACATATAAGAAAAATTGAGGTCCTAACAAGGCCAATTATGTAACCTGTGTGACCTCCGATTTTCACATATACCATTGATTCGATAAAAAATTTTTTTCCGTACCTCCTTCCTCACAATATAGCAGTTGAGCCAATAACATTTCGCAAAAAATACTATATGTCTATCACTTTATTCTGTCTCGTCAAAGGAAATACAATCGCGAACGCCTTCCCTGTTCATATTGATAAGGACCAGTTTGTTGGAGACCTCAAAAAACTTATCAAGGCAGAAAAACAAAATGACTTTGTTGGTGTAGACGCAGACAATCTCAAGCTATGGAAGGTAGAAAATCCCGACGATCACGATGATCAGCTGAGGAATCTTACACTTCAGGACCAGGACGAACTCCTTGCAACTCGAGATGTAGAAGACTACTGGACCGAGAAACCACCTAAAAGGCATATTCATGTCATTGTCGAACAACCCGTACCAACCGCCGGTAAGTAAATTTAGTTAACACGAGTGAACGCGTGACCTTTTTGCGTTGTGATATATTTATCAAATACCGACTTAACTCCTTTCTATCATACTGCACTTCGTAGAGTATCCTATAAAGAAACGTCGAATAGAACAGGGTTGGAAATCATACACCGCCTCTGATGGTCACTCCGTAGAATTGCCATTCCAAATAATTGACATTCTTGAAAGTAGCGAATTCGAACCTGATCTGCGCATTAATTTTAAAACTGCCTTCCGGAACCTTCATGTTGGCAAATCAATTACCCTACCACATCTTGGACAGGAACCTAAACACTTCGCTGAAGGTCATCAAGGAAGGACATTGCTTGTTACTGAGCAGATGATTGACATATGGAACGAGCTTTCAACAGATAGTGACCATTCAATTCAAGCGTGTTCTTTCAGGCCCAATGGGCGTGGGCAAATCATATATTTCCTACTTCCTTGCATCTAAAGCTTATGCTGAAGAATGGCCGATGCTCTACATCGCAGATGCATCTGATCTTAATGTAGAATCACCAGAGAAAGCAGGAGAGGTGATTTGCAGATACTTCCTGGCACTTAATAAAGATATTTTGACTGCCGCCGAACTTGAGAAGATTGTGCAATGTGCTAGTGATCGTAATACTCAACAGATTTGGATTACCGTCGCTGAACAAATTCTAGACTTAATCAAATTAGCACGTCGCAAAGCTCTATTAATTGTTGACGAACATGGTGTATTATTTGAAAAAGATCCAGTACCTTTAAGAATTCACTTGTTAAGTCATCTGATGAACCTTAATTTTTGGGGAGAACATTACAAATTTGCACGTGTAATCTTTACGGGGACTGCTCATGCTAGATATGAGAGGGAATACATGAAAAATGGTCAATATGAGTTTTGGGTGATCTTTATTGGTCCACTACAGAGCAAAGTATTTGATATTTTGTTACAGTTGCACCCCGTTCTGGGGATACAAGGCATCAAAGAAGCAGCAAAAAAGGTTACGAATTGTGTGCCACGCGAACTCATATACCTAGTTGAACATATCAAAAATCTCAATATCACTAATGTAAACCACTTTCAACAAGTACTAAAAGATTTTGAGATTGAACGGGTCGACAGGATTCTGGCTATTGCTCAAAAATATTATAATGATCTCCCGAAAACCGAAAAAACTCGCTACTATGATGCTCTCACAAGCATGTTTCTTCCCAGTAAACCCGTTGTGCAGTTTGACTGGAGGTTCTTAGATCTTGGGTTAATTTATCGGTACAAGGAAAGGATTATTCATTACCTCCCTCTATGCCCACCTGCTCAGAAAGCCTTATTAAAAATGTGCATGTCATTTGACCTACCTGAAAATATAAAAAATCAACTCCGTGTAGGAAGTCTAACTGGAGAGCAATTTGAGGAAGCCTTATTAAATCGACTTGTATGCAAATGTAACACACCAATACAACTCAATGTAACGGATCTCAATAATAGTAATAAAAGTGTTATTACACTTCAGTTTAATGACTATGGTTGGATTGAAAGTTCCCAATTATCCCTTGGACCTGGTAACGATAAAGTCTTAGGTCGTGGCTTTAATAGATACTCCCGATTTGATTACATGCTCGGACCTATATTTATACAGGTATCTATCAGTGATTTTGCTTCACACAACTACAAATCATCAACAAACATCGGGCAAGCATTTAAACCAATGGCTGTACAAGCTGGTATCTCTTCAGTGCAAATTAATGGAAGAAATCAGATCGAGATGTATTTGGATGAGATGTGTGGTCCTGGTCATTCTGCTAAAATGGATTCACAAAATAAGTTTGTTGTTACCAGAAGTGGCGAGCGCGTGCCTGGATTTTGTATTGTCTATATTCGAGGTAGTCCCGGCACTCCCAATCACTCTGAAAAAGTTCGTGAATTTCCCGACGTAGCGCATGTTACCTTTGAGGAGATCAAAAGGCAGCTTTTCCCAAATATAGTATAATGTGTGAGTAGAGGATCTATTACCTGATAGGATATAGTTTGATACTTATATAGCAAAAAATTTAATTTAGATCAATTGGAGGTTGGTGAATATCAATTTTTTAATGTAAATATATCAATAAATATTCTTATTTGTAAATATATCACTGATTACCATGGGTTTAATAAAGATTTCCGCATATATTGTAAATATATCAATCATAATTTTTTCTCTTGGTTCGCCCAAAATCACGTGTTTATTTTATTATTACACAGTATAAAAAATCGAATAGACTAAAATTGAATCGTAATATTCTAGAGTATATAGTTATAAAATCAAATAGGTCTAGCCACGAAGTGTCTGCTTTCGGCAAATCCCTAAAATCGATATAAACTACATAAATATCTAAAAATGCTATAGTTAGTTTATAAAATGACTAGTTTAAGTGCAAGATGTGGAACCGATTGTACTGATGCTGAATGGATTGAAATCCTGAAAATGGGTAAAGTTTTATTGAATGAGACTCCTACCGATTGGATGAAACGGATTTGGCCTTGCCTACAGTATTTTAGGGAGAATAATCTTATACCTAATAACAGAAAATACTTTGAAGCTAGAAAAGAGATACTACTTTGGAATGGAATTAATAATTCTTGGAAAAGCTTTTCTCCTGAAATTGGAATTGCTATCTGCTTCTTCTGCGATCAGTTGGTATATATCAGAGAAAAAATCAAAAATATAGGTAATTATGTCCATATAGGAATAGAGAGACATTGGGCTTCTTATTATACTGGAAATAGAGTGTCCAGACTTATGCGATCACACAATAAGCGCATATAATGTATAAATTTCACATGACTTATGCAATTTGTATAATATATAACAAAAGCATAATAAAGGCAGAATATGTATGTG